CAACACACACACACACAGACACACACACACACACGCACACACACGCACACACACACACAACAACAACAACAACAACTGAACTGCAAACCATTCCCTCACTCGCTTGAGGGATTCATGTCGTGGCCCCGTCCTCACGACGTCCACCTCTTGCATACCTTGTCGTGACCTCAACCAGAAGCTGCAGCACAACGTTACCGTCCTTCATTGCACTGGCTACCGCACCGATTTGAGTGGCCATTTGTTGTGCACCTTCTGCATTGGCCCTTGCAAGAGTCCCCGCCGCATTCCCGAGACCATCATAGAGAGCGCGCGTGGAGTCCTCCATGAAAAACCGTGAACCGGATCTCGAAGAGGTGCACCCTTCGTCCGCAGATGTTTTCCCTTTGTGTGTTCGGCGGGACTTCCTGCTGCTTTCGGAATCTTCCATCGGGGCGGCGGGGGAGGTTCCCTTCTTCGAACCCCCGCTATCTGGACCAGGCAATGTGGACAACTCCAATGTGTTGTCCCACATGGTTGACCTCTTCCCCTGCAACCACGCCATCTCGTCTACGACTTTTTTTCAAAAAGGAACATCAAACCCCCCCTCCTCTTGTCCTCGGGCGACATGTCCCAGAATGTCGGCTTGCCAGACCCACCGCACTTGTCGTTCATCTCCCTGTGCTTGTTTTGCAAGGCGGCCCATTTCTTCCGCACGTCCTCAGCCGATATGTGGTACCCATCCTCCTTCATCCGCCTCGCCACCCAATCATTCCTCAACGATCGTCGCTGGTGTTTTTGTCTTGGTTGGGCGGCCACCATCATAGCGTCATCCTCTTGCATGTATCTTGCGAGCGCCATGCGCTCCTCCAAAGACCACGGCTTCTTCTTTTGCTTCCCTCCTTCGTCGTCGTCCTCGGTATCACCATCGTTGGCCGGGGACTGAGGTGCACCTTGCCGACCGGCACGTGCCTTTCGCCCGAATGCCCGTCCCGTCGTACTTGAAGGACAGGAGGCCGCAAGAGCCTGTGCGTCATGGGGTGGTGGTGCGCCCTGGCCACACTGCGGAGAGGGAATGGCTTCAGTATCCGGGGCATCGCAGGACATGCTCACCAGATGCTCGGACATTGCCGGGGAAGGATACCCGTCCGCAGAAGGTCTGAAGTCGTATGTCGGAGTCATGTCTGAAGGCATGCATGGAGGTATATGCGACGCGGCCCTACCTCCGTCATCAAACCGCAATCGCTAGAAGTAAGCAACCATCCATAGTCGCGGCACTCGTTGCGCTGTTCATAAAACGTCGTCGGCCCAGACATTGCCGGATACTTTGCTGTTGACTGCTCAACCCCCATGCCAAACTCACAACTGTAGACGACAACAACAACGGAGGAAAGGGGGTGTATCTCATAGAAGGCGAGCGCCCAAGCTCCGTTGGTTCATGATTCCAAACCGGGGCTGACCCATAACAGCCTGGGTATGAAGCCACTGGCCGCGTGTTGCCAATGTCCGAAGGAGACGACGACAAGCCCCCGACCAGCTGACTCTCGAATCGTCCGCTGTGCTCTCTCTCGCCACCGACCCTCCTACGTCTTCACCCTCCATCTCCCTATCCAGCAACCTCTCCTCACACACCACTGTACACACCTGTCTATCTATCTATCTATCTATCTATCTATCTATCTATCTATGTATGCAACTTTGTATACCTCGACACATCTGTTTGTGCATGTGCATCACCGACGCATCAGGAAGTACAAAGCGCCAAGACCTACGAACGTGAATACAACAACGCTTGCAACAAACAACACGAGAACACCCAACACGAGAACGATAACCAGGGACATCACGGGACGAAGTGCACCCGCCGTGCAACCGTCGCAGTCAACCGAACTTTCAATGACAACGACTGTAGGACCACGACATCCACAACAACAACATGGGCATGGAGACCCTCACAGCTGACGATGTGGGAACGAGTTGTACGCCACACCTTCACGGTTTCTAACGCGAACTGCCGAACGTTCCGTCACACAGGCTGTGCACGTGTCAACACCCGACAACCAGGGGCGACGGACCTGCCACCCACCACTTCCCCGCCCGCTCAAAACTGCCCAACTGAATCCTTCATCCCACCTTCTGGACCGAGCGTGCACACCATCGCCGATGTTCTCCTTAGGCCGGCCCAAAAAAGATGATGGGATGGAAGCCAGCACCTTCTCGCACAGTCTGCCCTCGCCACGGCTGCAAACACTCTGCGGCTGTGCCAGGCATGGACGTGTCTGCCACGTCGTGTTTGTGACACAATGGCTGGCCTGAGGGAGACTGAACGTTGGATTCGGGAGATGAAGCAGCCGACCCCCCCATGACGTGCATGCAGCGTTCACGAACGACCCGTACATGGCTACGGAGGCTGGCATTCGTCGCAGTCTGCATGCGAACAGCGTAAGAAGGACATTGGGTTCTGCATGCAGCCAGCCTACGTGCTTGTTGTAGCGATACGGAGGCGAGCGACGAAAATTCGAAATCACAGGGTCGTTGGGGCGCGGGAGAAATTCAAAACGAAAAATGATGAGGACCTCCCCACCCCACATGGTGCCACGGTCCAGGGCCCAACGGTCAGTGTGCGACAACAACCCTTGTTCGGCCTCAGGCCCGCTGGACCGAACACTGGACCGGTACATGTCCGCTTTGCAGGCGCCCGACTTCCATCCGAATGTGCCGAAGTACGCACCCAAGAGGTAGGTAAACGGGCCGACTTTTGGAAAACGGGAATTTAGGGCCACGTAGGAACAAGGGGGCCGCGGACCGAGTGGAAACAGTCGGCAGACGACTTCTGCAAAGCCAAAATCCATCTGTGGGGTCTTGGAAGTTGCCTCGCAACTTACGAAACCATTGACTGCTGTCCTGTGGGATCCTACCCTTAGTGGAGCGAGGCGAGGTGTCCCGAGATGGAACGCATACATTTTTTTTCTTTTTTTTTTCTGTTATGATATTTCGAACACTGACATAATAACCGCAAACAGCGGAAACTCATACCGGTTTTGGCAGAGAGAAAGGTCATTCCTCTGTTGCCACAGTTTCATAATTTATACAAGGTTCAAAACAAAAAGCGGGCGGAGGGCGCGAGCATGGCACTGCACGGCCAATGGAAAACTTCTCCCGCGGTAGGTTGAAACAGTGCCACCATAAACGGAACTGGGTAATGCTCCCAGGCAGTCCATTCCGCGGTAGACTTTTTTTTTTTTTTTTTTTTAACAAATGCTCCAGTCTATTCGTGGGGAGCAGCACGTGCTGGGAACCGGGCCCAGCGTCCCATATAGAATTATACAGATCCTTGAGAACATTTGAGATCATTTAAGATACCGGGGCCATTACCCGGCTTCGGCTGAGATCAGTTTGTGAATATCTATCTAATGACCTATTAAAGAACTACTCATGCAATAGGCTGCCACAGAGGTCCTGCGAATGCTCACAACCCTCAGGATCCCTAAACTGTGAGGACGTAGTTTCTGATTGGAAATAGAAGTTGAATTCTGTTTTTTTTTTTACTATTAATTAAAAAAAGGAAAGTACCACAGTCAATATCCATTGCCCGGCCTACCCTACTTCCGACCCTGTTCTCGGACAGCTAGCCATGGAGAACATGCGTAATCCCCACCCTCTGGCTCGCACAGCGCCAGCTATGGCTAGCGCTCCCTGGCAGCCAATGCAATGCTGCCCTTTCCTTGACAGGCGCACGCTGCTAGCTCCCTCTAAAAGCAACCGCATGATACTGCCCGCTCCCCGACGGATGGAGTGGTCAGGGAAGGAGGGCAGCACTGGGGACTGCCAGATACTTACCTGGTGTGTGGCCGAGGAGTGCCTATGTGATCAGACTCTTCAGAGGCATCTGGCAAGACGGGAGTGGAGAGAGAATAAGAGGTAGTAAGCTAAAGTGTGTGGAGTAGGAAAGTGGTGTAGGCAGACACTACTCTCATTCTTCTTCCAACTTCACCTGCTCACTTTTTTTAGCCTTCAAACAGTGAGCTCTTGCATCTCAGATTTATTTGCATCCTCATTGCTAGTACTTTGCGCAATCCTAAAATAGAGCAACGAGACCTCGAGCCCACCCCACTCCATGGGCTGAATCTCAATGATTCATGCTACAGGCGGTGTGACCTGTGCTAGCAGGTCCAGCAACATTGCTCAGACTAGACAGGTGGGCCTCGAACCATGTACCTAGCTCACCAAACTCAGGCTTGAAACCACATGACCGAGCCAATAACTTGGCAACAGTTACTCTGGATCACCTGGAAGGCTGGAACCCATCCGTTCCGTGATAATACCTAAATGCCGCTGTTCTTTGGGGAAAAAAAGGGGAGAGGAAAAGTAGAAGCCTTTATTCATTCCACATGACCCTCAGGGGCAGGCACCACTCGTCGCCGTGACTAGAGGGAGATCGGACAGTTGATATCAAGCTTCAGATTGCTGTAAAATCTGAGATGAGAAAGTAGGTGTCAGATTCCGGAGCATACAGCGAGACAATAAGTACACTCGGACTAGAGCTAAACAAAGAAATTAAGATATCACATATTGATTCTGGATTCTTCTTCCTAGGTACCCAAATATCGTGTGGTAAAGGCATGTCAAGCCTGTGGATTAGTCAGATTCTTGCTTGTGATGGGTAGAGAGGGCGAGGGGGTGGGAGAGAAGGCGGACGCTAAAGTGGAGGTGGAAAGCAATACAGAGCTTTGGGAGACAGAGTCCAACAAGCACCTTCCACATGCGGTACAAATGATAGCTTTATTCTTTTTTTTTTAACATAGGCTCCAGTATGCAGCTCTCATTTATGCTTTGCAATTTTCTGGGAAAAGTACAAGATTGCACTAGATCTGACTGGACATTACACAACTATGCCTCTCACTGGAAATTGCACAACTATGCCTCTCAGAGTGCACTATGAAGTGGAGTTTCCATTCAGGAAAAGGGGACAAGAAGTCGGTGGAGGAGGTTCCCGTGCATGATGCGTATGGAGACGGGCAAATGACAAGTGACATCTTGTTTTGCTTGTTTTTAAAAACTTGGGCAGCCAAAAAAAAAGAAAAAAAAGAAAAAAAAAAAAAAACCTTTGGACAGCCTGCCATCCGGGTTAAGTCCCGGGTTTATAATAACATTTTTGGAACCCTTTTTCTCACAGTGGTATCATTGGGCCTTGCTTAACTGCACATCAGTCTACATGCACGTGGACGCTTTCAGGACCAGCTGCATCCAGATGAGTCCAACATTTTGAGTGTTCCTGGTCCACAAAGCATCCAAATTCATGCAGTGTGTTGTGTAGTGAAGCGAGGCCCATTGACCTCCTACCTTGCACTCGAGGGCGCAAGGCCAACGTACATCTGTGTGTGAGATTTTGGATTTTCTGTTTCTGGAAATGGCAACATTGACACCCTCGAAGGCACTCCTTTGAGGCCCTTCTTCAATTGTGCGTGATCTTTTCCTCCCCCAGTGAAACTAAGCCACGTCAGGTCATACTCTCTCTTCAGCTCTGGGACGTAAACTTGCCTAGAAATTTGTTTGGCGCAGAGAGCAGGTAAGCTGGCTGCCTCATGCCGAACAGGAGATGGAGCGGGGGTTTGAGGATAACATCTGGAAAGGTCTGGTTTGCTTTACAAAGAGAAGCTAGCAGAGGATAAAGGAGAAGAGACGATAAGACGTTGGATGACTTTTAAGAGGCTTCATGGTCACATGTTTCCAGGGCCAGAAGCCTTTTTGGCTACAGAGGCAGTAGATCCCCTTGAGGTGGCCACATGGGGCAGGCCCCATGAACCGTATGTTGGTGCTCGGAAAGCACAAACCTTGCCATATAAATGGCCAGGGGTCGTGCTCTTTTGTGCTGCAAGAGTATGAGCATATTGCCACTGGAGGCTGCCCGTAGGTTGGAAAGGCCCCCGGAGTCAAGCTAGTCCCAACGACATAGGGTGGGGCGAGGCCCGACTAGTGCTGTGTGTGATGAGCTTTGTTTTTCTCACAGTTGCATTGTTTTTGCTTAGTAATTTGGTTCAAGTCAGGCCGGTGTCCTCCCAGTGTACCTACAGCATATACTAGGACCATTAAAGTGCTTTGGTCATGTGGCAGCTTGTGCGAAATGGGGTCCAGCGGCTAATCAACGAAGATGTTCGTACTTTTTTGTTCTTAAACTGCCAGTACCTTTTGCATGCATTGGCCACAGGCAGTTTCGGAGCCCCTGGA